CTTCTTTTTTTCATTTTTCTGGGTGTTTTACAACCCCCCCCCCCAGCTTTTGACCTTTTAATAAAAAAAAAAAAAGATGGTGGGGGGGAAGTGTTGATTCATCGCGTTTTTGGAAAGTGGGGGGGGGGGTGGGGGAAGAGAAGCATTTGCACAAATAAATGCACCCCAGCAGCCATTATGAAGCAGGCTGGCTTGATTGCCTATTTTTAGACGATTTGGGGCAGAGAAGAGTTTATTTGCATCGGCGGATATATACAGTATTCTCTGGAAGGAAACACACGGAGAGGTGTCTATAAAAAAGACCAAGTTCGGAAGTGTGTGTGTATGTGCGTGCAGGGTTGTTTTTCTTTTTCCAAAAAGAGAAAGGTCAGTAGAATATTTTTTTTTCCTATGATTTTATTTTTAAAGGGTGGGGGGAAAGAAAGTTTTGTTTGACGAGGTTTGCGTCTTAAATGTCTGTTTGCAAAGAGCGTGGGGGAGGGTAAGAAATGTGGCTGAGTGAACTCACACTGGAGGGGGATGGGAATGGCTTAGCAGCGGCCTTTGCTGTGTCTTTGCAAAATAATAAGGGAAAAAAGAAAGGGGCTTTTGATGGCTGTTTTAAAATCTAGGCTGTTATATCTTCTAGGATTATGATGATGATTTGCTTTTGTGGACTTCGCGTTGGAAATTGGAGGGGAAAGAGCTTTAAAAACTGTTCCAGGGGCAGAGTTGTTAACCATTCTAGTAGCCAAGTTCTGGAGCGAACTTTGGTCCTTGGGAAAACCATTGCACAAAATCCAAGAGTTAAACTCCTATAAGGCCGAGTTTTGAAATCAGGGTGGCTTTTCTCCTTTCTTGTCCACGTGTAAGAAGTCTCAAGATAATATCAGTGAGCGGTGCCATTTCTTTTCTTTTTTTTTTAATGGTGTGCTTTGAAAGTGGAGGTACAGAACTGTATGGGGTTAATCATCTACCTGCAATGGGTAAACGTAATTCACTTTATTGCCCTTTTGCGATGTTGGAGGAAGAGGGGGCAGATTATCCAATGGCTGAAGTGAAATGAGGGGAAAAGAAAGCAAAGTAGAAAACAACGCGGCTGTGGGTTTTCTGGAACATGGAAGTTTTAAAAACAAACACTGAACTTTGCTTGGTATACAGTGGTTGGAGAAAATGTCTTTTAGAGGGTGTCCCTGAATTGCCTGCCTGGAGTTTCTGAGTCTTGCATGTGCTTCTCTTCCTTCCTCCTTTTTTTTTTTTTGCTGTTGGTGTAAAGGAAGTTGCATTTAGTTTATAGGAATCTCATTTTCAATCAATCTGGGATTTTGGGGGTGAGTGGGAAGAAGCTATGCTAACCTCAGTAGTTTGGGGTTTCTTTTTCAGTCAGACTTCTCTAAATAGAACTTGAGTTTTGATTCATGAACAGTAATAATATTGGGAATTACCACGTGGTGTGTAACCTGTCTTGGCTTTGTATCACAGTTCTGTCTTACTTATTTACTGCCTGAACATGAGATTCCCCCCCCCTCCCAAAAGCACATTTCATTCAAAAACTTGAGGAAAGTGTTGGGGACTTGGACTAGGCCTCAAACTGGAGGCCTTGTGGGCAGTTTTGTTGGAGGGTTGATATTGTTGATAAAATGGGGCTGCGTTTGCAGGACCTGAGTATCCATGCTTCACCAGAACATGACTTCCTGGATTAACCTAGTTCCCTCAGATTGCATGGCCCACTGAACCACAGACAGAAATTATATGTTATACTAGGCCAAAATGTAGCAGGGTTGTGTGTGGTTCCATGGAGCGTCTAAACCTACCCTTAAATTTTCACCTATATAAAACTATTCCTCATTTTGCCCCTTTGTTGTGGGAATCAAGAAAACCAAGAAAACAGCAAAAACAATTTTCCCTCTAAATATGGAAATGATTGAGAAGGAAAGATTTGACTGAATGTTCATGGACGGGTGGCATGTTGGTGTTAAGGCAATTATAACGTTCTCTCTGCGCTTTATAGATGTTGCTATTTTTAAAAATTGTAGTTGAACTGGACTTTATGTGGCCACAGTGACCTGGTTCATTCATTAATACTAAACCATGCTTGGTTAAACCATGTTTTGGCCTGAAACTCAGTTGTCTGGCTTCCCTTAACATGTTAAACCATAGCACATGCTTTATAAATCACAAACAACCAAAACCAAACAGACATAGGGATTAGTGTCATGGCTAACCTAAGCATTGATGTTTTGTTGGCTTTCTCTGTAATTCAGTTTATTTTCCAGTGGAAACAAGCCTGCTTAGAATCCTTGATTTTTCATTCAGGAAAAACAAAGATTGGTCATAATGAGTTTTCCTTCATAGATATTGCTTATTATTGGCTAGCAGCAAACCATAGGTACTCTAATTGTTATTTTCACATTTGAAAAACTGAGGAAATATGTATTTTTTCCATGGTATGACATACTTGGAGACCTTGATGGATTGTTAATGGCAGTACATTCTTCTCACAATTTATAATTAACTTGCATATTTCACAACCACAAAATGTGTTGCCAACCACTATCTTTATTATGTATTAACCCACTGATATGGGAGTTTTTTACACATAGAATAATCCAACACAGCTGGAGAGTGTTTTTTTGGTATATAATCATATGAACAGAGATGACTGATTATGGGCCTTCCTTTATTTATTTGTGATTTTCACACCTGTGCTTCAGTAGGTGCAATTGTGATTCCTGTAAAATGCTTGTTGGTGAGAGATGAAAGGGTTTGAATAGCTTTAAGAAATAATTGACCCAGCTTATGTGGGATATCTGTCAATAACTGTAAGCCATGAGAGCTAAAGATAGCTTTTCTTTTCTGATGCTTCCCAAGTGTTCTGAGCTACAACTCTCATAATTTATGGCTAGTATGGCCATAGGCTGGGTTGGTGGAGACTAAAGGAATTATAGGCTAGCACTTAACAAAGAACTAGATAGGAACAGGTTGGTTAAATCATATTTCTTGTAGAGAATTAGAATGTGTTTGAGATTAGTACTGTCCTCAGAGGGAGTCAAAACATACAAGATGGCGGTCATGGCATTATGAGCAGAGTCCCCCCCTTTGGGTATGTGACAGCATCCTGCATAAAAGGGGGAAATTTGATTGCAGTGCTGCAACTGCAGTCTTGCCTGTTTTGCCAGCATGCTGTTGTTAGGAGACATACTACAGGAGATATTTTTATGTAGTTCTCAGGAGCATCTGCATATCTATGTCCAGCCAGTTTTGGAAACAGAATGGCTGTGTTCACCTAGCAAGATCACATAAAGACCTAGCAGACGTCTTTGTGCAGTATTCTAAGCTTGGCTTGTTTGTTTTGGTAGCTCAGTGTATTGTGCAGCTTCAGCTTATTTGGTTAATGTATGGTTGAGTATATATTGTACCATGAACCCAGAGAATGAGTTGATTCAGTTAACTGGGTTAAGCATTGTGTGAACACGGACACGGTGGTTTTTATTGTGATGTAATGGCAATAGAAAATATTGCTTACAGCAGTCATAGGCTTCCTTTCAAAAAGAAGCTGTTTATAACAAGTTAAAAATATAAAATAGGGAAAAAAATAAGAAAAGGCTTCCCTGTGTAAGACATTATACTGAGAATAGAGCTGGAGTTATTAATAATTATTTATTGGATTTATATCCCACCTATCCACCAAAGAAAACTAATGCTTGACTTGTATTTTGGGTTCACCCACTATGATAACATATGGCTTGTTGGGTGGTCTCCTACATTACACAAAACTGTAAATCATGGTTTCTAAATAACTGTCATTGTGTTCCCATAGCATAGTCTGTATTTACATGGCATGCTAAAAATCTTGGTTGTGCCATTTTACTTTTCCCCCATGTACGTAGCTGCTTAACAAATAGATTGGCCACCATTTTGGGGAAATTGTGATTATGCATTAACTATATTGTAGATTACAAATTCTGGTTTCTGGAAACCTGAAATCCTGGCTGTTTGGATTTTGGAGCTCAAAGTGATTCCTAAAGCTTTATTAAAAAGGCATGTGTTAAAAGGATAACAGGCACTCATTTGTTAATTGAGTTTTTGAAGCTTAGATTGTCATTTTAACATGATAAGAATGGGTACAAACACTGCCCTAATCTTATGGCTTAGCATGTTGTGTGGACTGTTGCGTTCCATGAATTAAGTTGTGGCTTAATTTGCAGACCATAGTTTAGCTTGATGTGTGAACTCATCCCCAGTCAAAGCAAAACAAAACTTTACTTTGGCTTATCTTATTTCCAGGTTTATACCCCATTATTTAAGGTTTCAAGGACCATTCCATGTTTCTTTGCTTCACAGCACCTAAATTTGTATGCTTCCTCCTTCATCCTACTAATTGAACACAAGTTAGAGCAGTGTTTCTCAACCTTAGCAACTTTAAGATACGTGGACTTCAACTCTCAGAATTCCCTAGCCAGCTGGAAACCTGAAATGCTGGCTGGGGAAT